TAGGAGAGTGTATTGTGCCGGTAAAAATGTATTTGCCCGTTGCTACGGGTATATTGTCAGTCCTTGCAATGCATTGTAATTTTATTTTGATTTCAAAGATCTGACCATCAAGAGGCAGTAAAAACACTTCCGGACTCTTGGACACGCCCACGAGGCACCAGTGGCACACAGTTCTTGGGTTCTAAATGCTATTTGCAGATTTAAACAAGACATCAGAGGCTCTTGCAAGCATGTGTGTGCACACGCGAGCAATTGGCGGGAGATGTACACGCTGAACATGGTACAACATGCTGTGCTAAGAACAGAAAGGCTGAAAGAGTAAGTGGGGATTCAGCCAAAGCTCCAAGAATGCGGTTTGGGAGACAGCCCCTCGCCAAGACTGGGGTCACCCAGGCTGCTATTGGAAAAACAAATATGACCGAATATGACAAATAGATTATTAAACAATGAATTTTTGCTGATACATACAGCATTTTTAAAAAAGAACACCAAATCTTTCAACCCATCATGGAAGGACACAAATTCTTGCTCCAAAAATTGGAGATTGGAGGACAAACCTAATGATTAGCCACATCTTTTCAGGTGGAGGTTGAACTCATGCAGCGTTGGTGAAGCAACACTTACCTCTGTGCAGGAGGCACAGTGGATGAACGCAGAAGGACGATAGGACTGATCTGTGAAATCACTATTTTGTGGCCACCAATGCAATAATTGATGAAAACCGAGTGTGACAGGTGCCACGACTATTGGGTAACAGACCAGGAGAAGCACTATGTGCACAGACACCAGCATTGATAGCAAAGGGACACGTCCCTGCACGTGACAGGGAGCTGGCTGCCCCCGGTGACTCGGATTCCATATCCCGGCTCCTTGGTGGCAGCGGTCTCCTCATTGGAGCTATGTTTCATGTTTGGTTTTAACACAGAGCAACAAGGTACCACTTCAGTTATCTGTAGCTTAATTCATTATAGCTTTACTTTTATTTTTAAACTTTTATTGAATTTCCTGGGGCGACATTGCCTAATAATATTATGCACATTTCAGGAATACAAGGCTATATAGTACATCATGTCTGTACTGTGTAGTGTGTTTATTATCCACAGTCCCCTTCCCTCCCATGTACCCCCTTCACCCTCTTCTATCTCCCCCGCCCCCCTTCCCTCTGCTCATCACCACACTGCAGTTCGTGTCTATGGGTTTTTATTTTCTTTTATGGTTTGTTAATTTTGTCATCGTTTTCAGTGAGTCCCTGAAATCTCCCCCTGACAGCTGTCAGTGTGTCTGTGTGTGTGTTTCTAGCTTGTTAGGCGATTTTGTTTATTAGATTCTACACAGAGTGAAGTTTTCCAATGTTTATGAGACATGTCCCTCTGACCAGCTTATTTCACTTTGCATGACACTCTTCAGGTCCATCCATGCTTTAGCAAAATGTAATATTTATATCTTTATTTTCATCCTAAAGTATTACTGACTTTGCATAGCTAAAATATGTATATTCAACCTATTTTTATTAATTATGTGTTTGAAATATACAAACATAAAAATCATATTTCAGACTCTGGTGTTTGAAAGTTTGCAAAACTCTTCAAAGCAGTAAAACCATGAAAATGATACTCTATCCATCCATTTTCATGCACAGCTTTTTTCAGTTCTCAACATGTGTCGTCCTACTTTTTATGTGTATTTACCCTAAATTAACATATTTCCTGGTTCAAAGGTGATATTTGTTCCATGGGGGACTATGGGAAGTGAACCCCAACTCCTACCCCCATTATGTCTACATCCGGTACAGCTGTGGTAAGTGTGTCATTGCACTTCCTGCCGGTCTCTGCTCTGTACATGCACAGTCACTGTTCACACCATGTTGCGAGGACATGTGAATGTGTTTATACTGATGCTGAGTTTTCATTGGTGTGCGTGCTGCTGTCCCCTCAGTCATGCCCTGAATTGGACTCCACCTGCTCCGTGTGACGTGTCTGAGTGCATGTATGCAGTGGGGAGACAGTGCAGAAGATCATGCCTGTCACCATCTCTGGTGTGTATTTTGCCAGGGCAGGTAATAACCGCTGGCATCTTCCCAACAACACAGGTGTAACATAATTTGGTTTTCACGTGTTTGTGAACTGATTATATTTTGAAGATGGAGACAAGCATTTTTCCCATTTCCTCTGCAACAAGAGTCTCAAATGGCCTCAGAACTTTTAGACAAAGCGTTGGAGAAGTTAGGGGAGTGGCTGGGTGCAAGTGGGCCGTGAAGAGATGGCTGTGATTTCTCACCACGGATGTTTCACAAACAGAACACACAGTATCGTGGTTTGCCACATTTTAATGAGATCCTTTTCAGAGTGATGAACTGGTCTTCCAGATTACAATGACATCTTCCACATAATATTTACCACAAATTCTCACTCATGAATGAACATGAGGTAAACTAAACTTGAAAAAATGAGAAGAATTGGATTTAATGACAAAAAATTCTAAATGAATGTATTTTAATTTTCAGACTGCAGTATAACTACATTTTATTCACAAGTGGGATACATCAGTTTGCCTTCCTGACACGTTACTCGGAATTCAGAACCTGGGGACTTCTCACGGTATCCAGAACGACAGATGAATTCAACAGTGTCACCTGTTTTCGAATAAAGTTTTTTGTCCTGTCTCCATTTTAACTGTATGTTATGTTTTTCCATCATTTCTTTTGATATTACACATGCATCTGAAGGTAAAAAAACAATGAACATAAAATATTAAGCAGTACATAAACATTTACTACAGAATCTTACACGGTCATGTAGAATATTCTACACGATTCAGGAATTTATTTTTGAAATCCACTTGCAAACAATTCATTGAGAAGCCATCATGTAGGAGGAAGCCATTTAAAACTCTTCGTGATCTAAAATTGAGGTACTGTGTGGAATAATTAAATGCTATCCTCCAAGTTCTAATTTGAAGCGTATGACGTGACAAAGATCTTTTGTGACTGTACTGACTTGAGAATTTTTCAAACGTCATGTCTTTACACATTAATATGCGTCATCAAGATTTCAGTGAAATTGTTCATTACCTCAATACATTTTTACTTCAAAATGGAGGTAGGAGCCATTTCCAGACTCTTCTGACTGGTGTAAGTGAATTTGGACTCCAGTTCTGCCCCTTCCAGCACCAGGAGCACTGAACGTGCTGGCAGTGCCACAGAAGGGGACACATACTTGGGGGATAGTGAGTGTGGTCTGGCCCACAGGAGCGTCAGTTAAGGGATCAGCATCGGTGTGTGTTTTGCCTCCTTTTCAGATACTAATCGAGTATAAAGGTGTGAGTTTGTTAGGGGGCTCTATTCTGTTCCATGGTATATGCCTCCTCTTATTTGTGTTTTCTTCAATTTAGTTCCACAAAGACTTATATGTTTCCGAATATAGGTCTTTCCTCCCTTTGGTTAAATATATTCCCAGGTATTTTAACTTCGGACAATTGTAAATGGGGTTGCTGCTTTGGAGATATCCCCTCACCCCTGTCCAAATGCCCATCATCAATAAATCAAAAAGAAGTGCTGGGGAGGAGGTGGAGGAAAGGGAACCCTCATGCACTGCAGGTGGGAATGCAGACTGGTGCACCGCTGTGCAAAGCAGAATGGAGATACCTCCAAAATTGAAAGGTCATACAGCCTTATGACCCAGTGATGCCACCTCTGGGAATTATTCCAAAGAAACTAAACATCGAACACTAATTCAAAAGCCGAGTGGTATACATACACCACCATGTTCATAATAATATTATGTATAATAGCTGAGAATTGGAAACCACCCAAGAGCTCGTCAGCAGGTGGCTGGATAAAAAGGCTGTGGTACATTTACACAGTGGAATACTACTCAGCTGTATGAACACAATTATAATTTCTGAATACAGGTCTTGTACATTCCATTTACAATTTTTGAAGCAATTGTGACTGGAATTGCTTCCCTAGAAATATCACCTCACACCTGTCTGAATTCCTGTCATTAACAAATCAACAAGCAGGAAGTGCTGGGGAGGAGGTGGAGGAAAGGGAACCGTTCTGCACTGTTGGTGGGAATGCAGACTGGTGCACTGCTGTGAAAAACAGTATGGAGGTACCTCAAAGAATGAAAAAGAAAACAGCCTTAAGTCCCAATAATACCTCTTTCCAGTCTTTATCCAAAGAATCCAAACACTAACTCAAAGGATACATACACCTCTAAGTTCCTAACAGAGTGATTTGCAATAGCCAAGATTTGGAAGCAGCCCAAATGTCCATCAGTAGATGAATGGATAAAAAAAAGCAGTGGTACATTTACGCAATGGAATACTACTCAGCTGTATAAAAGAAGGAAATCCTACCTTTTGTGAGAGCACAGATGGACCAGAAGAGCATTAGGCTAAGTGAAAAAGCCAGTCAGACAGAGACAAGTACCATATGATTTCACTCATATGTGGAATCTAATGAACCAAACAAATGCACAAAGGAAAGACAGACTCATAAATACAGATTACAGACTGGCAGCTGTCAGAGGGGAGGGGGTGGGGGCTGGGTGGACTCATGGACATGGACAACAGCATGGTGATTGCCGGGATAGGGGGTGAGGGGAGGTACAATGTGGTGATTGGAGGATGAATGGTGATGGGTGGAGGCTGACTGAAGGTTGTGAGACAGAATGTAATCAGTAGATGAAGTGTTGTAGAATTGTACACCTGAAACCTGTATAATTTTATTAACCAAGTCATCCCAATAAACGCACTGAAGAAGGCAAAAAATCAGCATATCTGAACATTCCTGTGTTAAAAAAAACTATGTCATTGCTTACATAGGAACTTTTGAAGCATCTGGCCTTGTACGTGGGAGTGAGAATGTCCAGCATCCAACAGGACAGCTGTCTGATCACACAGTTCTAGAACCCACTGCAGGAATAATGCTAGACTGTGAATGAGCTCTGAAACATTTCTGTAAATTCTCAGGGTATGAAAGAATATGCAGAACTTACCTAGACATTTTGGGGGTTTGGACCACTTAGCATCAATGCAGGTTGCATATTTAGGACCCCAAAGTTCATAGTAGGCCTGGCATTTGTATTCAACTCTAGACCCTGGAGGGTAGGCAGCCAGTGGGAAGGAGGTGATGTCTCCATTGCTAACAGCTGGTGGAGGCCCGCACTTTTCTGCAGATTCTAAAAAACAGCATTTTCAGTGTTGAGGGAAAATTCTGGTCTTATTGGAGACTATGTACATGAAGCCCCACAGGACCCTGAAGTCCCTCCTGCATTGTGAACCTGTGACTTAAATGTGGGGGAGAGAATCTCCCTCAAATGAGCTCCACGTTTCAACTGACTTGTCTTGACATGGGAAACACCACAATGAAAATACTTACTGAAGCAGCTTGGCAGGTGGGACCAGCCGTCCTTGCCACACACCATGGAGCCCTTGGTGTGTCCATCTCTGGTTTCATACCCATCCAGGCACTGGTAGTCCAGCGTGTCATTGGGCCTAAACACTTTTCCAGTGATGATGGCTGTGGCATTCTCAAATAGCGGCATGTCACAATGTTCTGGAGGGAAGCAGAGTTGACAATTGTAGGTGCAAGGCCTTACTATGGATAATGCAGCAAGGAGACCTTCTTCTGGCAGGTTTCCTCTCTGTGGTCTTTGAGTGGTTTCCTAAAATTAATGTCTACCAATAGGCGTCTTTATCATGCTATTGATATGTCAAGGAACTGGCATTTCCCCTTATACACACTTGAAAAAATAAAAGCAAGTAAGTCCATTGACAAAACAAGAAGCTGATGTAAACTTTCTTCCACAGTGATTACATGTAAGTCTTAGAAGATGACGAACAGCCTGGATCTCAGACCCGTTTTCTTACCGACACGGATGCATTTGGGAGGAGGGGACCAGCCGTTCTCCGTACACGTCATCGTGCTCCGCTGGTTTGGGAGACTGTAACCAGGATGGCAGGTAACTCTAACAGACTGACCCTGTGAATACTTTTGTTCGTACCTCGGATCATGTCCATTCTCCAGGTAATTGAAAACACATTTTCCTAAGAATGATAAAATGATAATGAAAAACCCCCAACAATTGGTCAAATGAGAAATTAAAATGTGTCCTCATATTTAAATTAGAATGCATAAGCATACAATAATAACATATAGAATAAGAAATACTAAAGCTGCTATCAAATATTTTTATGAAATATAATATTAAACATAATTATCTGCAGTTCACTATTATAATATGTAGAAATGATACAGGCATTTTTGCAGACTCTGTTTTTATCTCTCATGTTTTTAATGAAGAACCTCTCATAAAACAAACAACCTACATTGGTCTTCCTGCTCACAGAACTCAGCCCTCCACCTTAGTCTGGGCGCACAGCTTGGTCGTTCTCACTTGCTTAATGCCCCCTGGCCCCCCTGTGAAGTGGCCTCATGTGCACAAGGAGGAAGGGGTTTACTTACTGAGGCAGGGAACATCAGGTGACCATCCGTCTGGTGTGCAAGTAATATAATCCCAGTAGCGTTCTGTAGGCGTCACATAGCTGCCACTACAGGAATAGTAATACCATTGTCCCACGGTGACTGGGAAAAGTATTCTGAACCTGCGTGCCCGGTATAGTTTCCCATGCTTTATTTCTGGGTATTCACATGGCTTATCTTGAAATAAAACAAAAAAGTATCAATAATGTTTCAATTTAATAGAATCTAATGAGAGATTAAAGGTTTCCCTGATGAATTATAACATTAACATAGTTATCCTCATTGCATTAGGGTTTCCAGGACAAGAAAGGTTGTAAACTCAGATGATGTAAAGGACACCTGTTTCTGGTCACTTCCCGACATGCGCACACGCGGAGTCAGTCTGTTGTTCACTGAAACAGCACAGTGCTGCCTGGCAGTTCTGTCTGGTGAGTACACAGACACGCTCCTTGTGGTGGTCACACTCACTGAGTCTGTGTCACGGTGATGCCAGCATCCTCTCTAAGGGCTTCACAGTGTCACACTGATGTGGACATTTGTCCTGAACTGACACTGAAGCCATTGACCTCCTATTTGCATAGTTTCATTTTTTCACTCATGGAGTGTCCAGCTACAGTGTGGACGCCTCTACAAGGAACTGATACGTGAGCAAGAGGAACGTGAAGGCCGAGGCAGAAAGCTCTTGGAAAGGGGCCAAAGAAACCTCCCCAGAAATAAATGCCCTGCTGACCTGAGTTGGCACTTTGTGACATGTGGTGGTGTCAGAAAATCAACTGTGTCTCCCACTCTCCTCCCTCAGAGAAGATGCCCATTGCCCTCACCTGTGAGTGTGGGCTGGACTTAGGACCCTCTTATAAAGGTACAAATGGCTGAGGTGACAATGTGTGAGCAGGTCATAGAGTGCACAGAGGTGTCCTTCCTGTGTCTCAGATCACTCACCCTGGGGACATTAGTGCCACTGAGGCTCCTATGGAGATGCCAGATGTTAAGGCCCTGGGGCCCCTGCACCACCAGGGAGGTGCCCACTTGGAAGCCAGTCCCAGCTGGACCCAGTCTGAGGCCCACACTCTGGGCCAGTGTCCCAGTGCCACCCAGAGAGTGACAGGAAACTTGGGGGCTGAACAGTAACCCTAGTGTTGACTCTGTGACCCTGAGTCATGAGAGAGTGGTTGTTCTCAGTTAGTATTTTGGGGTAAATTTTTACACAGGAGTAAATAAGTAATATACTTTAGATGTGAATGTGAGCGTCTTAGCCAATGTTTTAGTTCGATGTAAGAATATGTCATTGTGAGAAACAATTATACATGCCCACACTATTTAACACTGGAGTAGCAAAATTAGAAGGTTTCAGTTAAGATATATGAGCATTTTGATCCTCATTTGAATTGGCTACTTTGAACAGCCGAGAATGCGTCTGCAATCCCCTGCATTACGTTCTCTGTAGTGGAAGTGTGGTGATTGAATGTGTCCCCATTACATTAGGTGTTCAACAGAAGTAATTTCAGAATTAGGGCAGATTATGATGTGAGTGGAACTTACGGGTGCACTTTGGAGGGGGTGCCCAGCCCATTTCGGTGCATTTTGATGTGCTTCCTTGGGTGTATGGATAAAAGCCATTGTACACTGGTATGTGATTCTCATCCTCCACGTCTGTGTTTGGTCCTGTCAGGAATGTAGTGGCTGTTGGCAATAGTTGGAGGATCACATGTCAGTTCTGAAAAGAAAAAGGACAGGTGGATAATGCAGAAACCACTGCTCAGGAGAAGAGTCAAGTCCATGACAGTACAGAGAATGTTGGGAGACTCCCCCAGACATTTTGGGGTATCATCTAGCTTTTCTGTCACCCACTTTCCAGTCAAGTTTTCAAGAGCATATTCACCTGACTCTAATATCTGTAGAGATGCTTTCCTACTGTGGAACTCAGAAGACAGAAAACTACTTATTTATTCTCCCTGGAAATGAATATACCATAATCTTCCTACAAGTTATTCTTTGATGTCACGATACACACTGCCCCTACCAGTCAGTTCATTAAACCCAGAGACACGTGCAAGTAGGAAGGAGAAGAAGTTGCAGGTCGGAGGGAGCTGAGTGTGCAGGTCTGTGCCCAGCTTACCTTGTCCATGAGCCTGGGAGACCCCCAAGGTGACAATGACACTGATCAGGGACAGCAGCATGCTGGGCATCCCCGATGGTGCAGTAACACGAATGTCCCAGCCGTGCTCTGCGGGTTGTGAGTCTGCCTCGTGAGCGGTGGTGAGTGTGAGCCTGAATTTCAGTGCACTGCCAGGAAGCTGGTTTGTTGAGGTCACTTAGTCAAAATCAAAGTTCAGAGAGTTTCGCAAGATATGGAAATTTTTGTTAAAAGTTTCCCAATCTCTCCATGACTTCCTTTCCTCATTGTACTTGAACTACATTCCTTTGTGATATTAACACACCTGATCAAAGGTGACATGAAACAGTAATTTTTTAATGAACAATTCTAGAAATGGCTGAGGCTCTTTCTCCACCCAGAGATGGAGTGGGAATAACTCCGAGTCCATGTCCCTCTAACTGTCCCTTGTCCTGTGTGTGTCCTTTCCCAGCCTCAGTCCTTAGGGTCTGTGAGCAGCAACCACCAAAGCTACTAGCAAACGTTTGTTAAAATGTTACTATTCAATGTGACTTAAGTCTTTATTACTCAGAAATGTATGGTTAATATCTTATCCTCGTAAGGACCCATTCACATTTCCTGTGGGTTTTTTTGAAGAGCTTCTCCTGAAAGAAAAGGCGTTCTGGGACATTTTTGCTCCCAGAACGCTCCCCTTGAGCTCATCGTTGTCACTCAGATTTCATCGCCCTCATGTCTGTGCACCTTTGTCTCTGGTCTTTGAAAGGTTCACACACAGGTACCTCTAGCTCAAGTGACCCCCGTGTCCAGCCTGGTTGCAGTGAGGCGCCACTATAGCCCCCCACCCTTTCCCCACGGCGTCCATCACGCCTTCTGCGGGGCGCGGGAGAAACAGAGACCCGTGGAAATGGGAGACGGGACCCCCTCCCCCCCCCCACACACACATGGGGCTGGGGGGCGGGGCGGGGGGCTCTCCCGCGGCAATGCCTTACCTGCGGCAAGCTGCAGTGAAGGCAGGCAAGGGTCGACCAGAGTCCCAGGGCTGATCGTCCCGCTCCTCTCCCCATACCCAACCATCCAGCTCGGCCTGTTACCACTAACCTCTCCTTAGAAGAGTTCAGAAGAAAAGCAGAAAATCAATCACGCTGCGGAGAAAGGGTAGCCTCGCTCCGCTGGCGGGAGCAGTGAGCCAGGCAGCTCCGTCCCCCTACCCCTAGCCAGGGGCGGGCGCCCGGCGCCCCGCCCTCACCATCCATCACCCCCCTTCCAATGTCGGCCTGGCCCTGCCGCCCCCGCCACCATGCTGCCCGCCCCTTGGCGCTCGAGTGTCAGCGCTCCCCGCCAGGGGTGGGGAAGCTGGGCGGGGACCCAGACCCAGCTGCGGTGCTGGCCCTGGGGGCCTTGGGGATCCCGGGACGCAGGGCGCGCGCAGCTCCTCAAGCAGAACGGGCTGTTCCCCAGGCTTGCCAGCCCCTCTTCTTCCCCGTAAATATCTAATCCCAGGAGAGACTGTGCTTGGAGACAAACCCCAGGTCCCCTTTCCGACTGGACTGTCCTTCTCTCACTCAGATGTGTCCCCCTGTGCAAGAGGCCGTAAATCCGCTTTCCAGTTGTCGGGGTTAGGTGGGATGGCCTGTCGGACCTCAGTGACGAGCGACCTCGAGGCTCGCCGGCAGTTGTCCGGGCCGCCCACCCTGCCCCGGCTCGCCTGCCTCCAACATCCCCTCCAAGTGCTTCCCCAAAGGACTTGCCCTGGCTGCGCTCCTGAGCTGCGGGCCTGCTAGCCTGTCGTGGGGAGGACCGCTGCCACCCCAGAGGAGGTGTGCATACAGCCGTCCCCGCGGTGCTCAGGACCCGGCACGAAGGCCGCTCTTGGGAGCGCATCAGGGTGCAGACTTCCCTCCAAGTGGTCGCTTGTTTCTCTGGCAGAAACACGTCTCCTCCCCCAGCCCCCTCCTGGGCCCTACAGCTCTCCTACCACTGCTCCTGGGGTGTTTAAGAGACTGGCAGCTTCCCTTTGAGAAACATCTTTTGGATGGAACACAAGTAGGCCAGAGCAAGTGTTTTTTAGTCCAACCAATTCCTCCTGTGGCCCCCTCACGTCACTTCCAAGCCTGTTCATCTGGTTCGTTGGAAAAGAAGCCTGAGTTTTATCCAATGTAGATGTTTCTCTTAAGCTCTGTCCCAGTCTTCACTTGCTCGAGGCCGCCCAGGCTGCGGGCTCCCTGCCTGTGAGGAGGGGAGCCGCCTGTGCAGGAGCAAACTTTGAGCAGAGAAGAAACCCCCAAGTCTGTGAAGACACAACCCAGAGCAGTAACGCTTTGAATCTGGTTTCTACAGAACAGGTACAAAAGGCCACGAAGGCCTCCTAAGGCCAGCAGGGCCATGGGGTACAAGGAAGCTGTTGTTCCCTGGAGACTAAAGGCCATGCCAAACAACTGCCCACTGGCCTCTGCAGTTGGGGTGCCACTGCATTTCCCTGCAATCTCTAGGTCTCAGTCTGAAAGACTCCGCATGATGGTCACTTCCCTAAATGGAGAGCCACATCTGAAGCCCTGGTTTGCCAAACACTACGGGTTTGCCCACAGAAACCCAGGTCTCAAATGACTTTCCTCTCAGGGTTGGCCCATCCTTGAGCCAGACCCAACAATGTAGAATCTTCAGGAGCCCAGGACGGCCCTGGCACCAGGAAGCAGGCACAGAGCCAGACGCACAGAGTCACCTTCCAGCTCTACCAGACAGCACCGTTGGCTGGAGTCTGCCTTTCACACGTTAACCTAAAGCCTCTGGCTGAGGAGAGAAGGGACCCACCTGTATTCCCACCTGTAAATGCACCACCACCACTGCCGCCTCATCTACAGGTCAGGAACACAGCAGGCAGGCGGTGTGATTGCAAAAGTCCCGAAACAGCCCTGCCCTGCCCAGGAGTGGGCCTTTGACAGCAAGACCTCTGATTTCTACACCCTGCCAGGGATTCATTGGCTGTCATTTGGAGAGGGAAAGCAATCGTCACAGCAGAAGCAGATAATTTGGAAAAGGTCACACCAAGGGCATTTTTCTCACGAGGAGAAATGTGGGCTGAATGTGGATATCACAAAAAGTGGAGATTTGGCTTTTGCACAGCTTAGACTGTCAAGAGAAATGCAGGCCCATTCGAGCAGCGTGGGGTTGTGTTGACCTGGAGGAACCCGTCTGTGCTGGCTTGTTTAAAACTCCTGACCTCTGTGAGAATAAGAAATTCTTGAAACGCCGGGTTTTGGAACTCAGCATTTCACTTGCCAAAGAAACTCATGTAACTTAAAGTGGAGCTGACTTCAAAGACACAGCTTCTGTTACAGGCCCATGGCTGACGCCTTCTCCCCGGGACTGTAGCCTGGGCCTCGTGGGAGGAGGCTCCCTGTAGGAGGCTTGGCCTTCAACCCTGCCCTACCCAGTAGTTCGGAAGAACGGCAGTGACGATGACGACCAAAGCCGGTTGGATCCACAGGGAGGGTCCTAGGAGGCAAAACTATAAGTATAAAGTCCATGATGATGGTCATGAAGGCAGAAAAAGACACACAGGAAACAATGTTCAATTCTCAGTGTAAAAGAAGATCCTACTGACATTCAGCTTCTTCCTGTGCGACTCTCACTTGTCTCTTCCAATCCCTCACCCACAAATATTTAGCAAGGAATTTCCAGGCACTGGGTTCAGGGTAAGATTTGACGGCACGGCTTCCCAGTGCTCTGATGTGGCAATCTGCTAAAGTATAAGTGAAGTGTTCCTAAAGGGCAGAGAAAGAATTTTTTTCAACTCCCCATTCATACTGGCCACTCCCCCCAGTTTCTGCCAGTGCAAGGTTGAGTTCATAGCACTGTGCTTCTACTCTGTGACCTGTTTATTTCATAGCAAGCTGCTTAGTGTTCTGGTCTCATCTCCCCACTGGTCTTCAGAGACCCTGGGCACAAGGACCACCTTCATTCTCCCATCTGGAGCCCTTAGAGAATTTCTAACACATTGCGAGCACTTGGTAACTATTGGGTGATACTCAGCTCCATCAACAGGTATGTGACTCTTTGAGCCTTAGTTTCCTGGCCAGGGAAACAGACAAGGCCATTAAACAAGGGTCATGTGACAGCGCCTGGCACGGGCAGGTGGCTGTGGTGGCCTGAGCCTTCTGAGCACTCAGCCCCCTTTCTCCTGGTAATAGCACGTCATTTCCCTTTTACTAGAGGAGCAGATAGAGAGGATGTGACTTTCCGTTGTCCCGAAAGCTAGACCGGGGCAAGGGAAGGCTCAGCTGTTTTGAGGACACCAACTTGAGAAAGTAGTGAGTTGGCGAGATGTCCAGGTTGAGTCCATGTCCAAACCCAGTCAAGGCCTCTACACGAACGTCTAAGATTCTGACGGGCAGGCACAGAAGTCCATCCATCTTCAGCCCCAAGACAAGCCACAAATGCAAGTCCCCTTAAGTATTAAAGTACCACCTATTAATCTGAAGTGGACTGCCTCTTTCTGGAGTCTCTTCTTGCCCTCCACGGATGGGGCCAGTTTCCAGCTGTACCCCAGGGACTCCCGAGGTTATGAGCTAATTCCTTTGGGAAATCACTACTACTCGCAGGTCATATGATTTCAAGGGTGCTGCATCTGCTAGCCCCTCCTGCCAACCCTGCTCTCTTGGCTTGGGTACAACCAGAGCCATGTTGGTCAGGGAGCCTAGGCCCTTTGCTGAAACAGTTAGGAAAGGCGTCTTTGTCCCATGGGGGTTGCTAGGTGACTTAGGTAGCAAGCGCCTCGCTGACAAGATTGCCCACATGCACAGACTGGCTGAGCACACTCCACTTCTAATGCGCTCTACAATTCCATGCATTGCAAAGCACACCATTATTATACGTACCACTAGGAAGGAAGGAATACGAGAAGTTTATAATATAAGAAGAAGTTTATAATTGGTGAGGGATTGGAAGAGACAAGTGGAGATCACACGGGAAGAAGCCGAATGTCAGCAGGATCTTCTTTTATACTGAGAATTGAACGTTGTTTCTCATGTGTTTTTTCTGCCTTCATGATCGTCATCATGGACTTTATCATTATAATTATAAGTTGCTCGTTGATTTCAGTCATGTGGAAATGCAAGGGAAAATATGCACTTTAGAATAAATGAAATATAGAAAAGCAGTACAGAGGAAAAGGAGATGAACAGATATATCAGGTCCTAATGATATCCTTTGATCTATTAGATTTGCCCGCACTTCTCAGATACATGAAGGTGTATTACTGTGGTAGGGTTGCTACCATAAAAGACCGCCAACTGAGTGGCTTAAGCAATAGAGATTTATTGTCTCAGCTCTGAAGGCGAGACGTCCGAAATCCAGATGTCGGTGCAGCTGCTTCCTTCTCAGGGGGAATCTGTTCCAGACCTCTCTCCTTGGCTTGCAGGTGACTGTCTTCATCTTCACATGGCGCCCTCCCCGTGTAAATGTCTGTCTCCGAATAGTCCCTTTTTATAAGGACACCGGGCACACGGGAGTAGGGCCCACCCTCCTAACCTCATTTCAATTTAATCGCCTCTCTCATAATCCTATCTCCCGACAAGGTCATGAGCTGAGGTTCTGGGGGTTAAGCCTTCAACGTATCTTTCTTAAAGGAACCACAGTTCACAGTTACAGGAGCTGATGTGAGTTGGGTTTCTGTCATTTACAACCCAAAGCCTTTTTCTGCTCAGTAAATGTCCATTTCCCCACCTCGGGTAACTGCATTTTCTTTGAAGTACAGTGAGTTTACAGAAAGGGGCGACAATACGCACAGGCACAGCTCTAACCTAACTTACTAAGCCTGTTTCTCCAGAGCAGTTCCAGTGGGAAACCGGAGCTCGGAGTGGAGTGGGCAGGAGAACCCGCCTCAACATTCTCTGGGAGTGAAGGCAGCCAAGACAACTACAAAAGGAATGGCATTGTATTTTAAAGAAGAGGAGCATAAAGTTGTGAAGAGGATGTTAGTCTTAGGATCAAAACACCTTTTTAGATAAAATATTCTGCCTTGGCCGGGGTGGCCAAGTGGATTGAGCACTGGCTTAAGAACCAAAAGGTCACTGGTTTGATTCCCAGTCAGGGCACGAGAGGCAACCAGTTGATGTTTCTCTAGCACATGGATCATTCTCTCCCTCTCTCCCTCCCTCTCTCTCTTTCTAAAAATACATTGAAAACAATATTCTG